TCAAACATACAAAAATACACGTATGGGGATCTCAGAAGGAGAAGAGAGAAAGAGAGGCAAAGAAAATATTTGAATAAACCTGATGAAAAGCATGAACATACATGTCCAAGAAGCTTAATGACAACTACAGAATTCCTCAGGAGCTTTGTGCACTGGCAATATCATAGCCAATGAGGTTTATCTGAGGTACGGTTATTGCTAATTGAAAACTTTTCCTAATACCCTGCCCTGACGACTTGCAAAATTCCTCAGGAATGGATTCTGACAACTTCTTTTTTCTTATGTATGAACTATACTTCCCTTTTTGGGGTATGCTTTATAATTTTATGTTGCAAAACGGACAAAAGATTTGTACTGAAACATATAATAGTCAAATTGTCAAAACCCAGACACAGAGGATCTTGAAGGTAGCAAAAGAGAAGGGATTCATTACATTCAAGGGATCCTCAATAAGATTCATAGTTTACTTCTTAAAAACTATGAAGACCAAAAGACAATGAAATAGCACATTTAAAAGGCTGATTGCATTGGCTCATGGTTGTGATCTTAGCACTTTGGGAGGCTGAGGTGGGAGGATAACTTGAACCCAGGAGTTAGAGGTCACAGTGAGCTATGATTGTGCCACTGCATCCAGCCTAAGTGACATAGTGAAACTCTGTATCAAAAGGAAAAAGAAAGGCATATTTAAAGTCCCGAAAAAGAAAATGCTGTCAAGCAAGAATTCTATATCTGAGAAAACTATCTTTCAAGAATAAAAGAGAAACAGAACATTTTCAGATAACAAAGGCTGAAAGATCTGCCCTACAAGAAATGCTAAAGGAAGCCCTGGAGGCTGAAATGAAAGGATGCTAGACAGTAACTTGAAGCCATGGGGACGGGGTGAGGGGGTGGGAGGTGGGTGGGGAAGAAGAACACTGGTAAAGGTAACCAACAGTTGTAAAAGCTAATATTATTGTACTTTGTGGTTTGATTTGTAACTTCTTTTTTTTCCTATATTATGATTAGTTTGCTATCTCTAGGTAGAAAGTAGTCTTTCTGCTGTAATGTTTAAAAGGCAAATACATAAAATAATAATTATAAACCTATATAATGTGTGTAAATGTATAACGATGTAATCTGTGACAATAACAACAATACACAGGGGGAGGAAATGAAGGAATGATGATATATATGAGCAGTATTTGTATACTTTTGAAAATAAGCTGATACTATTTAAAGTAGGTCATTGAATCCCAGCTACTTGGGAGGCTGAGGCAAGAGGATTGCTCAAGTCCCAAACTTTGAGGTTGCTGTGAACGATGATGTCATAGCACTCTATCCAAGGTGATAAAGTGAGACTCTGTCTCAGAAAAAAAAAATTATGATTGCTGTAAATTTATATATATATTTTAGAAATGGGATCTCTACTGTACCCCATGATTGCATTAATGTACACAGCTATCATTTAATTAAAAAAAAAAGAAATGGGGTCTCTGTTGTTCAGGCTAAAGTACAGTGACCTGATCATAGCTCACTGTAACCTCAAATTCCTGAGTTCAAGGTATCCTTCTGCTTCAGCTACCAAAATAGGTGGGACTACAGGTGCATGCCACCATGTCTGGCTAATTTTTTTAAAACAAATTTGTAGAGACAGGGTCTTGCTTCATTGCCCAGGTTGGTCTTGGACTCCTAGACTGAAGTGATTCCCCTGCTGTTGGGTGGTACTTTCTCTCAGGGGGAGAAGGATGGCTTGGCCGTGGGTGCAAACTCACTCCTAGAATTGTATGAAAGCAAGAGATGACTACATATTCTTAGATGGCACATAGCAACAAAATGTCTTTATTCTTGACATTTTATAGTAAACTAATCATGTACATCACATTGATCAATAATCCTAACATCCTCTATTCTTATCTTAAACTATAGAAAAGAAAGAAAGTCTGGGAAAGTAAGATAACCATCTTAAGATTAGTCTAAAGAAAGAAAGTCCAGGAAAGTAAGATAACCATTTTAAGACTAGCCTCAGACTATTCCTCTCTAAAGACCTAAAACAACTATACATTATCTGACTTCTATTGTTAAAGTTAAAGGTCAGGATAAACAGGGGAGTAACACCTTTTTCTTCCATGTACTCAATTAAATTTCCAAGAAACAGGCTCCATAACTGTTTTTTCATGGTTTGGAGGCTCCACTGTTACGATGGAGTGTTCCTTTAACCACATCATTATGGTGGAGTTTTTCTTTTCACTCACACCAACCTTTGAGTCCTGTCCCCTGCACAGATGGGTCATTTCAACCCTTATCTGGCAGGCCGACTTGACTGCAGTCGGGGTTCCATGTAGGAGGATGTTAATCCTTGTCTGCAGGCGCCTGCTGTGCTTTCCCAGGTCACTTAGGCCTCGACAAAAACGCACAATACTAATGAGTCTTTTTGCTCAGTTTCTGGAATTAAAAGAGCATATTTCATTTAATTTTGTGGGAATTCATCCCACACCCTGCCTCCTCCCAAAGTACTGGGATTACAGTCATGAGTCACGATGCCCAGCCAGTTGTTATAAGTTTAAGATAACTAGATGTTTAAGTAAATGTACTTAACATAAACACTAAGAAAATAACTTAAAAAATATAGTAAGAGAACAAAGAAGGGAGTCAAAATGGAATGTTGACAAAAAATCGAGTAAAAACAGTAATGGAAAATTGAGAAACAACAAAAAACAACACACAAAACAAATATCTAAAGGTCAGTAATCACATTAACTGTAAATGGATTAAAACTATTAAAAGGAAGATATTAAGAGATTAGATTAAAGAATCTATCCATGTATATGTTGTCTACAAGGGATTTTAGGGTATAAGGACACAAGGATATTGAAAGTAAAAGGATGGAAAATGTATTTCATGTAAATAATAGTCACAAGAGAGCTGAGGTGGTTATACTATTTTCAGACAAAATAGAGTTTAAATCAAAAGGTTTATAAAAGACAAGAATAGTGGGAGATTTTAATACCTTACTTTCAATAATGGGTAGAACAACTAGACAGAAGAACATCAAAGAAATAGAAGACCCAAACAACATTATGAACCAATTATACCTGAAAGACATATAAGAGCAATTCACCCAACAACAGCAAAATATACGTTCTTCTGAAGTACACATGGAATATTATCCAGGATGGTCTGTATGTTAGGATACAAAACAAGTCTCTATAAAATGAACAAGATTGAAATTGTACTCAGTATCTTTTCAGATGACATCAGAATGAAACCAGAAATCTACATCAAAAAGGAAAAGGAAAACAGGAGGCTCAGTGCCTGTGGCTCAGTGGTTAGGGCCCTGGCCACATACACTG